TTTCCCCTCCTCCCTCCCTCCCTCCCCTTTTTCCGCTTCCATAGTGTGTCCTCCCCCGTCCTCCGGCCTGCCCCTCGTTCTCGGTCCCCCGCCCTCACGGGCCGCCCCTCCTCGTCCGACACACCAGGCGTGTCTGCAGGACGGCCGGGCGTTTCTGGCGCGGGGCCTCCTCGCAAGCTGACGCTCGCGCAGCTTTGAGGAGTGCAAGGCACTGCCAGGACTGAGGGCGGGCCGTTCGCGAATCTGAGTTCCAGTCTCGGCGCCACCCACACTCGTTTTTTGTTTGTTGTCCATTCTTGTTTCATCATGTGTGTTTGTTCTTCTTTCTATTTAAACGAAAAAGAAACGCAGCCATCACAAGGATGGAAAGGGGAAGCTTTCCAAGTGGGCCGCGCGCGGTAGCGCCCGCACTCGTCTCGAGAGCTTGTAAAAGGGTGGAAGCGCGCTGCGAGCACAACTTGCGCTCTCTCGCCCCAGCGCCGCGCACCCTCGTCATCCAGCATTGACCTGTACAGGTACAGAGGGCGGCCCATTTCAGGGTTGAGCTCTCGCCTTCGCGCCACGCCGTTTCGCCCTAACCCGCTGCAGTCCTTACAAGGGGGAAATGGCGGCTCCGTTTCATCGTGAGCCCCTCGCTTGAGACTCCCCGACGTAACACGTCAGGAGCTTGACCATGTGTAGCAGCTGCAGGGATGGAGGGCGATGCCTTCTCAAAGCCGTGCGCTCGCTTGAGAATTACTCGAACCGCATGACGAAGCGTGTAACGCTGTGCAGCGCATACACGGATGGGGAGGGCGGTGTTCCTTCTAAACGGAGGTCCCTCTGGACGCCTCGCTGAACTGTACACCCTGCGATATGCTTAAGAAATCATGGGTTAAGAAATTCAGAGTCTCAGAATTAAAAAAAAAAAAAAAAACAGAACTTCGATTATAATCATAGGATTTACATTGAAACATTAAGAATAATCGAGACTCTGGCCGAAAACTTAAGTTGTCTTAAGCATCGCCTAGGGTGTATGGCCACGCCGTCTCGCACTGCGTATTCGCTACAAGGGCTTACGTCAACTCTGTGCAACTGTTTTGAAGGGCTCTTGTCTGAGTGGCAGGCCCACGGGACCTGCAGGGTGCTAGGTCTGTCAAGGGGGATGCTTCTTGTGGCGGGAAGGAAGGCTTGCAAGTTGGACTTCCGAGTACGGGACTTGGGACGTTAGGGTGTCTGGCAGCATCGGTAAGGCATCTCGTGTCAACTCTGGCCATCATCCTCTCCTCCTCCCCCTCTTCCTCCTCCTCCTCCTCCTCCTCCTCCTCCTGCTTATCCCTCCCCTTCTGTTCTCCCTCCTCCACTCCCTGCTCCCTATCCTCCTCATCATCACCATTATCCTTCCCGTCGTCCTCCCCCTTTTCCTCCTCCTCGTTTCCTCCCCCTCTTCCTCCTCCCCCCCTCCCTCCCCTCCCCCCGCCGCCTCCGACTCCCCTTCCTCTTCCTCCTCCTCCTCCGTCCTCTTCTTCCTTCCCCCTCCCCTCCCCCTCGCCCTCCCTCGTCCTCCTCCTTTTTCACCTCGCTCCTCCTCCGCTCCCTCTAAAACTAAGCCTGCGCCCATCCTTCCCATTCCCCACCCTGTCTCCTCTCCCACGCCTCTCCGTTCCCGACCATCGTCTCACTTCCCCTGCTCATTGCTCCTCCTCATCCTCATCCTCATCCTCATCCTCATCCTCATCCTCATCCTCATCCTCATCCTCATCCTCATCCTCATCCTCCTCATCATCATCATCATCATCATCATCATCATCATCATCATCATCATCATCATCATCATCATCATCATCATCATCATAATCATCATCAACAACAATACCATCATCATCAGCATCATCACCAGCATCATTTTCAGCATCATCATCAGCATCAGCATCATCACCAGCATCAGCATCATCATCATCAACAACATCAACATCAACATCATCACCATCATCACCATCATCATCATCATCATTATCCCCTAGTCCCCTCATCCGGCGGTGCCAATCCCCAAAATACTCCTACCCGCTATCGTCCTACTCCTCCTCCCCCCCCGTTCAGCCCCCCCTCCCCCAACCTTGCCCCCCCCCCTTCCACTCATGCGTTCATCACGAGTCTGCTCGCCATGGGCATGCAAGCACACGCACACCCAACAACACGAGAGAGACATAGAAGTGCCCGCCCGTCAGACGAGCAGGTCCCAGACGTTCAAAGCGCTCGGAAGTAGCTGGTGCCAGGCCTTCCTCGCAGGGACCGAGGCGAACCGACCGGACGTCCAATTCGAGCCCCTTCTCCCCGCCCCTACCCCCTTCACAGCGTGCCCCCCCCGGACGTTCGACGTTGCACGCATCACTGCGACATCGCAAGAAAGTGCGACCAGAACCCCAGACCCCATCTTGCTGCGCCATGGCTCGAAACGGATCCATCTGTGATGGTCCCTTGGCCCGAAAACGGCCGAACACGCCTGGCGCGAAAAAACTGCAACACGAGGAGGAGGACGAGGAGGAGGAGGAGGAGGAGGAGGAGGAGGAGGAGGAGGAGGAGGAGCAGATCTGAGGGTCAAGGGCGCGCGCGCATGCTTGCTCGTCTGCGGAGACCCCGGCGACCGCGCCGGTCTTCCTCAGCGCTCCAGCGTCGGCGGTTCTCCGCAGCGCCAGCGCCTGCTCCCCACGCTCGGGGGGAGTGTCCTCGGGGCGGGCCGGCACCATAGGGCGGTCGCCCAAGCGGGAGGAGCGAGCAGGAGAAGCGAGGAGGAGGAGGAGGAAAAGGACCACGGAGGAAACGCGCGGAGGAGGAGGAGGAGGAGGGGAGGAGAGGAGGAGGAGGATGAGTAGGAGGAAGAAGAGGGAGAGAGGAGGAAAAGGAGATGCGGAAGGAGGAGGAGGAGGAGGAGGAGGAGGAGGAGGGGGGAGGACAGGGAGGAGGAGGACGAGGAAGAGGAGGGGGAGGAGGAGGGGAAGAGGAGGAGGAGGAGGAGGAGGAGGAGGAAGGAGGAGGAGGCATGACGTGGCCTGACAGTAGCCAGTGTCCCGAAGGCCAGGAGGAAACACAGCGGCCGATCACCCTCGACCGCTGTCGCCGCAGGAATATGTAGCGAGAAGGAGGAGTAGGCGCAGGAAGTGAACAACCAGAAGGATAGATGTAGGGAGGGGACCAAGGAGGGATGAGAGATGGCAAGGAGGAGGATGCGCAGGAGGAGGAAGAGGATATGGGACGATTATGAAGAGAAGGATGTACAAGAGGAAGACGAGGAGCAGGAGATGGGATGATGGTGGCGGTGATGGTGACGATGGTGATGCGGATGATTCATCCACTCGCTGCTTGAACCCCCATGTGAGCTCCCTGGACAGCGCAAGTGCAAGGCAGTGAGTTGCAAATCCTGGAACTCGGGTCAGTGGGCCACCACAAGCCTTCGGCCAACAAGCTCTGTAGTCTCCAAGAGGAGAACGGAGCCCGGGGCCCTGGAACACTGACCTCAAGGCGCCGCTCATGTCATGCGAGGTGAACAATACACCAGTTAAGCCAAGCATAGTTGAATGCATGAACGTACTGTGACTTTCGCTTTGATGTGGCACGAGGAGAATGCGATCGCACAATAAGACGATGGCACATATTCTCCATAACTGGTTCCTCGCTCCAAGCGCAGCGTCGCGGCAATCCGACTTAGAAAGCTGATGATACGCATAATGACGTTCAGACACTTGGGGTCAACAGGTTCAACGACGCCGATGTGCGCAATCCACTTGGCCATACCTCTCGTGCTGGGTACAGCCGATGTTGCCCCATGGCGCCATGCGTAACTCCAGGCACTTCTCGACAAGGTTCTTCTTGATCGCGTGCAGGACCTTGTTCTGCTGCAGCGTCTCACAGGAGATGTTCGGCGGCAGGTCTTCGGAGCCAACCGCTCCTTTCACGACGTCCAGCCACTTGGGCATCAGCTCTCCGCAGTCATCCATGATGAATACGCATCGCACATGCAGCTTGACGTTGTTGCGCATCGCCTTGGGCTCGAATAGGTCGCAGGGTGCCCGGCGCGGCACTAAGGGCAGCGCACGGAACTCCAATTTGCCCTCCACGCTAAAGTGCTTCACAGCCAGGTGATCCTCCCAGTTGTTGGACATAGAACGACGCGTACTCCTCGCTGGTCACGTTCTCGGACTTGCGCATTCACAGCATTCTGTTCACATTGAGCTTACCCCACTCGTGCGATATCTCCTTGACCTTCTTGGTGTTCATACTATTACCATTCGTAATATAAATATTATCTTCGTTCTCTCTCGCTTCATCGACCACCTTGATATTCGTCTCGTCGCCTTCTTCTTCCGCGTCCATGTTCTCCTCCTCTTCGTCCTCGGAGTCTGTCACGCCCTGATTCCTTGACATCTCCGCGCGTAGCTCACTGGGGAAACCGATGCACTAATAATGCTTCTTGGCCAGATCCTTCAAGCGGCGCCCCTCGAAGAACTCCGCCTGGTCCTCCTTCAAATGACAGATGATCTTGATGCCGCGCTTCTCTCCCCGTGCGCCATCCCCGCGCCCCTCTGCACCGCGATGGAACCGCCAGCTCGGGACTCCCAGATGTACTGCTCGTCGCCGCTGCTCTTGCTCTTCAAACGCATATTGTCCGAGATGGGATACACGGAATAGCAGCCGACGCGTATACAGATGGGCGCTATGACGTAGGCGGCCATGTTTCTTCCTCGGGGCTACGACATCATCGCGTGAAAAGGGCCGGCCCGCCGGAGGGCCCCACCTGCCCTCGCGAGAGAGGCCGCTGCCTCGCTGCTGGACGGGCCCGGGCAACACGGCAGC